ACAGAGTGGTTTTTAGACCGTTCATGGGGCGGTTTTTGACGTGTTGGAACCAAATCTCATAATTCCGGTTTATAAAAATATAAATATCGGCGTTATCAGTATAAAAACTCGCAAACACATTTTTTGAGAAGGCTGTAGAAATTTCACGCAATGTCCGTATTTTCAGTAAATGCTTCAAATATCTAGCTTTTGCTAGTAAGTAAAAGCAAAAGGTTATTCACTTCAATTTCAGCAAATGCTATTAGCAAAAGCTTAATCTACCTAGTAAAAGCTAAAGCTATCACTTAATACTAAAAGTGAAAGCTTAATTTTTATTCACACTGCCCAATGAGTGCGACAAAAACAGGTATCCCCTCCGCAGCAGCCGCACTAGGCTTCACGTTCGTCCTTATGTGTTAGCATTCCAGTTTTTGGTTATAGTTCATTGTTCTCTCTACTTGAACCCATCCAAAACGACGCTAATGCGATTTCATCATGCACAAAAACGTGTGAATGAATTGGAAATTAAATTGGATGACGAAAAGGTTTCATTTAGCGATAGCACAAAATTTCGTGGCCTTTATATTGATAAAGACCTTAACTGGAAAACACATTGTGAATACCTAATAGGTACCTAAGGTTAACTCTCAAAGTTACTTTCTAAGACAATTAAAATCAATATTTACAATCGAACAGCTTATTCAGGTTTATTTTGCAAATTTCGACGCCAGGCTACGATACGGTGTCTGTTTTTGGGGTTGGTCAACTCTTTCTGAAGATGTTTTTGTTGCTCAAAAAAGGTGTAGGTATACGTTCTCTTGCAGGAATACCAAAAAGTCACAGCTGCAGAGAATATTTTTAAAAAAATTATATTTTAACTGTCCCGTCTTTATTTTTGTACGAAATATGTCTATTTCTTTTCAACTGTGATAAATTAAAAAAAAAACTATAATATACATAACTTAAACACTAGAAATAGTTCTACCCATCACACCAATATTTGCAATTCCAAACTGGCCTGTCGTTTTCCCTAAAATATTGGGCCCTTAGTTTCTGAAGGGTTACCGAGAACAACATTAAAAATTGTAAATCTTTAAAGCAATTTAAACATGTTAAAAACATTTTTAATAGAGAAAACTTTTTATCGGGTAGAAGAACACTTACCAATTACATAAAGGCTAGTCCAAAATTAATTTTGTAATTTTTAGTTTTTCCATTTCATTTCTTTTTTTATATTTTTTCTTTCATTCTCTTAGTTAGGTTAGGATTAAGATTTTGACTATTACTAAAGTTCGCCTTACGAGTCTAGCACTATGGAAAGAATGCGGATAAAAAAATTGCACGATTGCCTATTTGAATTCCAATAGAAAATACCTTAATATTTATCTATGTTATAAGGAAAAAGTAATACTTAAAAATGCTACGCGCACGCCTATGACAGGCAGCATAAAGCTCGAAATGAATGGCGTTATTCCCCCTTGCCCTTCAGACGTCGTAGTGCTAGACTCGTAAGGCGAACTATATACGATATTAGTATTGTCAATGGAAATAAACGACTTGTTTTGTATATTATATTGTATTGTATAGGACAAAAAAAATAAATAAAAAAAAAATTATATTATACAGTACAATGAAATCGAAAATCAAAGGAAGGGACAAAGTTAAATTGAGTATGGAATAATGAATGTTGAAAATATCAATGGAAAAAAGTAGAAACTGGTAGTGGAATAGGGAACTTGCACCTTTTTTTTATTTCAAATATGTGTTCTACTACACTGTAATTGCAGACTTAGTCATGCCAAATATCGAGAATTAAAAATCAGCCGGTTATTTTTTATAATTATTTGAATTTATGCTCCAAACATCGCCATTTAAAACGACCGACTAGCGCGCCAAAAAGTGTGACGTCACTCGGCAACAAAATTCCGTTGAGAGTGACGAGCACTTCGAGCTCCGAGCAGGTAGATTTAGATTATGGTTATGTATTCCGTTCACAATGAACTTAATAAACACACTGGAACGGTGGCTGCATAATTGTTTCTACGCAAGGGTTTGTGCCAGGAAGGACAACAAACAAGAGGGATTTGCATCTCTCTCTGCACTATGGCGGCTATTGAGAACAGCTGTTTGAAGTATTTGTATCATTGAGGTTAGGAAGATGAAGAATCTCTTCTTTCTTTTACATTAATCGCAATTAGTGCGAGTAAGACAATAATCCATCTGTATTGCTGGGTTGCATACATCAAAATTTAGCACACTAGCATAAAGCAGAGTTCCAGAGTGTTTGTTTAGTTCAATGGCCGTTCACGATAAATTTGACAATGGCGACAACAGCAGCAAATGGCGTGGCGGCGACGCGACCCGAGTATTACTGCCTTGTGACGTCACGTCCCACGAATTTCGAATTATTTGATATTTTCAATTGAAGATTTGGGACATCGGAAATAAGATTTAATTTTTTTTTCCTAATTGCATGATTTATTATGATGTTTGTTAGTGTGCTTTATTATTTATTCCATATTTAATTTATTGTGCAAGTTCCCTATTATCAAAACTGAATGTGGGACATACTTAACATTGATTTATGTTAAGTATACATAATTTCTGTAATTTGTTTGTGACTAGTAATCTGAGAATATAGAATATACTAGATGGCACCACTTGTATACTGCTGTCAAAAGGTGTTGGTGTAGTTGGATCAGTTCCTTTAATAAACGAACACTCCTGACATGTCAAAAAGCTTAAGCTACATGCTTTTTATTTTTATTTTCTCCTCAAAATTATATTAATTATTAACTTGTTAAAAGAGCATAATTCGACAGGTTATGGGTCAAGGGCGTGAATAAGGCCCTTGGTAATCAGTAGAATAACAAGTCTTGGTTCTATCAAATATTTTTGGGAAAAATATTTTGGTTGAAAAATTTTGAGGTTAGGAGAAAAAAAGGTGCCCCATCATAAGACCCAGAGTTGTGTATTTTTCCTGAAATGCCGAGGAAAATAGAAGAGCAAAATGGCAACAGGAATTTTGTCGTTTCCCCAGTTGTCGAACACAAACTATTCTAACTGGAAGTTCAGGGTCGAGGTCTTGTTGGACAAGGAAGGCGTCAGGAGTGCAATTGAAATTACAGATGCAGAATTAGCGGCTCTATCTGCTGAAGAACACAGTACATATGTACGACAAGATACGAAAGCAAAATGTATTATTGTCCAGTGCTTATCAGACAAGCATTTGGAATATATTATTAAGGATGCAAAAAGTGCTGTCGACATGATGAAATCACTAAGTAATGTTTTTGAAAGGAAAAGTACCCTCTCCAAGTTACATAATGAAGAAATTACTGAAATTGAAATGTACTTCTGAGATCTACAGGATCACTTTATGCAAGTGGAAGCACTGTTGAGAGAGTTGGAGGTTGGAGGCAGCAGGTGCTAAGTTGGATGAGTCTGATAAGGCCTGTTATTTGTTGCTCACTATGCCCGAGAAATATGACACTCTCAGAACTGCTATAGAGACAGTCACAACTTAACATTAGAGTTCGTGAAAAGCAGGCTTCTTGATGCTGAGTTGAAATTCAAGGACAATCAACATAAGTTTTCCGAGAACAAAAATTGTGCATTTCTTGCTGGTAAGCAGAGATACACCAATAATGATGGAAAATGTTTTTTGTGTGGACAGCCAGGTCATTTTGCGAGAAATTGTAAGAAAAACAAACAAGAAAACAGAGGCAGAGGTGGAATCAGGGGTCGATTCAGAGGAAGGGGTAGAAAATATTGAGACTACTGGCAACAAGCCCAAATAAGCACCACAGAAGATGAAAATATAGAAGAAGAGGATAGAGAAGGTACATGCTTCATATCAGAAGTGGTTAATGCAGGTATGGCAAAAAATTATGAAGCATACAAGGAGAAAACCGGTGAGTTTTTGGAAATTCAATCTATTTTGGACAGTGGTGCAACCGATCATTTAGTAACTGAAAATGTTTTAAAGTATATGACCGATAATGTCCTTTTAACACGTTAGCTGCCGACATGAAATTTGTAGTCTTTCAAAGAAGCCACTCGACAGCCGGCTTCCATTTAGAATCATTACTTACAAGCCGCCTGGGTCGCCAGCTGTCATTTGCAAACCTTACTAAAAGTGTCGACTGGCCGCTGGCGGTGCATTTTAGCGTGCTAATCTCATGGGATTTTATAGGTCGGCAACACAGGAATATAGGTTTGAAGTGGTTTGGGGAGGCAGGCAGGACTTATGTCGAAATGCTCATAAAATTGAATAACAAACAAAAACACGAATTTAATGGCCTCTTGCGATCTCTAAACCGGCACGTAAAGTCCGTCGATTTTAATCTGATACTCGAAAGGAATGTGAGCTGGTGGCACCCTACGCACACATGGTGACACATACCAATGGTCACCTGACGTCACATCTTGTTTTTGAGATATACTTCACCCCCTTGCTCCTCATACGGAACGTGTCAGATAAAAATCGACGAACAATAGATGGTTCATTATTCGGATAGTCCATCTTAAATGTGTTAACTGAGTAAAATCAACCGAAAAATAAGCTAAAACTTACCCTGAATACAAAATATATATTTAAAAACACTGAACTTACAGAAAAACTCCAAAAAGTGTCTCTAAACAAACGATTGTTGTGTTTTGTACAAACGATTTCGAGGTTGTGTTTGAATATTTACCCAACCGCCGGCGGTCAATTGGCAAATAAGTAATACATGGATTGCTAAAATGCCACCTGACAGAGGGCCGTCAAATTATAATTATCAAAGCTATGACCGCCAAACGCCGCCAGGATTAATAACTATGCTTCTTGAAACCATTTTTAACCAAAATAGACAGTTTTTTGATGTGACGTTTTTGGTTATATTTATCAAAATTTTGGCGGCAAGCATGCAAATTACTTATGTAATTGACCGCCGGCGGCCCGGGCGGCAGCCAACGTGTTAAAAAATAAGATTTGTATTAGGGTTGCAAACGGTAATATTTTGTCAACAAATATGAAGGGAAAACTGATAGTTTTTTGCAAAAATATAAGAATAGATTTAGAAGCTTTAGTGGTACCTGAATTAACACACAACTTGTTATCAGTTAAGCATATTAATGATAAAGGAAATAAGGTTATTTTTGAAAAAGATAGAGCTATAATAAAAGGTAAAGGGAAAACTAAAGAATGTAAAATTAGGGGTAATTTTACATTGCAAATATTATATTTAATATAAACCTAAACATTTTGTGTGCAGCCCTATAACAGGGGAATTGTGGCATAAAAGGCTTGGTCATTTGTCAGATAATTACTTAAAACCATTGAATCTACCTCTGCCTACTAAAATTTGTGGTTCTTGTAGGGAGGGTGAGGCTACTAGGTTACCTTTAAATGATCAAGTTCTTCCTAGGTCTAAGCACATTGGAGAGTTTATTCATACAGATATAGCTGGCCCAATCAGAACTCCCACACAAAACAATGAAAAGTACTTTCAAGTCATAATTAATTGATGATTTTTCCCATTTTATTACAGTGTATCTGCTACAGAAAAAATCGGAGGCACAATTTCAATTAACAAATTATATAAGAGAACTGAAAGCACAAGTTCACAGGTGCTCTAGGTTACGATGCGATAATGGAGGCGAATTTAATTCATCAGAATTGAAAACTTTTGCAAACAGAAGGGTATTAGATTGGAGTACAATTTACCCTATACAAGCCAGCAAAATGGAGTCAGTGAGCGGGCAAACCGAACTTTGTTAGACAAAGTGAGAGTTTTGTTTGCTGACACTAATCTGCCAAGGTATCTATGGGGCGAGGCGATTCGAAGTGCAGCCTACCAATTAAACAGGTCACCCACCAGATGAGATGTTTAGATGGAAATACACCAACATATGTATTTTTTTGGAAAATTAGACTAGACAGGTGTTTTGCGGGTAGCTAATACGTAATGTCTTAGCTGGTAGTGGACTGTATTTACTTTGCGGCGCAACCTCTAAATAATGATAAAAAGGACTTACCCAATGATTCCATAAGTGCACTCCTGCAGGGACCCTGCTTTACACACGCGCTGCGGATTATGGTGTTCCCAATTACGGGTTATGTAACTTTGTAGAAGGTTGATACGAGAGGACTTCACAATGAAGTTTTGAGATTAGAAATATTGCGACCGGGTTAAGCCGTACGACGACGCGCCCGTGTCGTCTCATCGAGTTTCTTAGCAATTCTGTCCAATTACTCGCTTCTGGTACGTCCACTATCAAAATCTAGAGGTACGACTTTTTTTGCGCGAAACAAAAAAAAAATGCGAGCAAACAGGAATTTTGCACCTTTGCCAAATTGTATAAAATTTATTTAGAATAAAGACGAAACATTACCGCCCACCAAAAAACATGCAAGTGTTTTTTTTTCTTGTTTCTTTTTTCAAGCCAATTTGGCACTATAGAGTCCCAAGAACAACAAACAAAAAAAATAAAAAAATTCTTTTGTTAAATTAAAATTACAATAAAATTAACTAGAGGAAAAAAAAATACATATATATAGATATATATGTATATACCTCTACAAGAATAGAGATATAGGTAGGTATCTATCTATATACAATATCATCTAAGTTACCTATTGGGATGGCAACATAGACACTTTATTAACCGGCCGTTTAAGAACTCCATGGGTTGTCTTAAGGGTTACAACCCGGATAATACCGTCAGGACCAGGATGAGTTTCAGTTATGCGTCCAAGTCGCCATTTGAGGGGTGGAGTGAGTTCATCTCTTAGGAGTCTTAGGACTACTAAAGTTCCAACCTTAATTGGGCTTGGATTAGTATGAAACCATTTGTTGCGCTGTTGCAGAGTATGTAAGTACTCGCGGTGCCAACGTTTCCAGAATTGTTGATGAAAATGTTGAAGTAGTTGCCATCTACTCAAACGATTTAAGCTTATGGCGGACAAATCGGGATCAGGGATAGTAGATAATGGAGCCAGAGTTAAAAAATGACCCGGGGTCAAACTCGAGAGGTCATTGGGATCCGTACTTAACGCAGAAAGCGGACGGGAATTCAAGACCGCTTCGACTTGGGTGAGCACTGTGTACAGTTCCTCGTACGAGAGGATTTGGTCACCGATAAGACGGACCAGATGAAATTTGACACTTTTGATACCAGCTTCCCATAATCCTCCAAAGTGAGGTCCAGCAGGGGGGTTAAATCGCCAATCAATTTTTTCTTCATGGGCAGCTTCGGCAAACACTTCATGGAGGTATTTAGCGGCGCCAACAAAGTTGGTGCCACAGTCACTATGAATCACCGAAACTCTACCACGTCGACTTAGAAATCGTCTCAAGGCAGCAAGAAAAGCAGAGGTGGTCAGATCTGAGGCAAGTTCGAGATGAAGTGCCTTTGTCGCGCAGCATACGAACAGACATAAATAGGCCTTTTGAGATTTGGCACCTCGAGCTCGAGTGAGGGTAATAAAAAAGGGACCGCCAAAGTCGACAGCGGAACATTGAAAGGGTTTTATCTGAGTGACCCTAAAGGAGGGTAAATCACCCATTTTGGGTTGCATGATTGGAGGGTTTACTCGGAAACATTTTAAGCAATCAGAAGTTACTCGAGTGATTGCTCGTTTCGCAGATAGAATCCAAAAATGTTGTAAAATTAAGTAGTTCAACGTTTGTTTTCCACAATGGAGAAATTTTTCATGAAAGTCCTGAATTATAAGATCGGTCAATCTGTGTTGAGCTGGTAATAAGGCAGGGTGTTTTTGTTCAAATGCAAGTTTGGAATGAACTAAACGACCGCCCACCCTGAGAATACCAAGTTGATCTAGAAAAGGGGAAAGTTTTTTAAGCTGATTTGAACAGCGACGACCCTTTGACAGATTGTCAATATCCTCACTAAACACCATCCCTTGAATATATTTCACTAGCGTCATTAGGGAATTATGCAATTCAACATCTGTGAAAGTATTAGTCGAAATAGTGGGTTCATGACGCATTTTTTGGATCACCCGAAGGCAGTACGAGAATATCCTTAAAATGGTTGGGAGCGAAGAACGTTCACCTAAAAGCCTGGAAACACCATCAATTTCCGTAGTGATAGCACATACTAATTTTCCTTCTTCGGCGAGAACTTCCGGTTGCGGCTTTGAATCGGGTTCAAACTTTGATGCAGGCCACACTTCCTGCGGCAACAGTAACCATGCGGGACCGTGCCACCACAAAGAAGCGTCACACAATTCAGAGGGTAACATGTCCCGAGTAGCGCAGTCGGCGGGGTTAAATTCCGAGGCAACGTGGTTCCAGTTTTCAGGAGGCACGATATCCTGGATTTGGCTGACTCGATTGGCTACGAAAGTTTTCCATCGAAATGCCGGCGAGCGAATCCAAGCGAGTGAGACCATAGAATCCGACCAAGCGTAAATCCGCGTAAAGTTAACGTCTGAGTAAGTGGCCAAGACAAATTTAAGTAATTTTGCGGCCAACAAAGACGCACAAAGTTCGAGTCTAGGAAGTGAAATACGTTTTAACGGAGCAACTTTGCTTTTTGCATAAACAAGGAAAGTAGAAATTTTTTGGTTAGAGCAAACCAAACGTGAATAGATACACGCTGAATATCCTAGGCTGGAGGCATCTCCAAAACCGTGGAGCTCAATCGAGACATATGAGGAAAGAAAACAATGTCTAGGGATGCGTAAATTTGACAAACGGGGAAGATCGGCCTTATATTTTTTCCATGTTTTCGCGATATCAGAGGGAGCCACATCATCCCAGGTGAGTCCTTGGACCCAGAGATTTTGCATCAATAATTTAAGGGCGAATGTAACAGGGGCAAGGAAACCTAGAGGGTCAAAAATGCGAGCAATTTCCGAAAGTATGGACCGTTTAGAGCATTCTGATTTTAAAACTTTTATTTCGTAAGAAAATTTATCGAGGTGGGGATACCAACGAAGTCCTAAAACCTTGAAATAGGAATCCGTGTCATCCATTGAAATAGATGTCAATGTTTGGTGAATATCAGAAGGTATAGTTGATAAAAATTCCAAGTCGTTACTAGACCATTTTCTCAAATCGAAGCCTCCCAACTTTAAGAGCTGGATTAGTTCGTTCTTGATAAGGATGGCTTCACTTAATGAATTCGCTCCATCAACGACATCATCCACGAAAGTTTGATTAAGAAGAACTTTTGATGCCCTAGGAAAATCCTCGGAATAATTTTGCGCCAACTCAAGAAGACATCGTAATGCAAGAAATGGCGCACTAGATACTTCATAAGTTACCGTCTTCAGAACAAAATCCTGAATGGGATCTGAAGGGCTAAATCGCCAAATAATGCGTTGATAATCCCAATGACATGAATCAACCCAAATTTGGCGGTACATCATCTTGATGTCAGCAGTGAAGACAACCGAGTAGCGTCGAAAATTTAAAAGAATAGCAGTGATGTCCTTCTGGAGCTTAGGACCGGGTAAAAGCGTTGCGTTTAGGGACTCGCCTTCTGTATTTTTTGCGGATGCGTCAAAGACCACACGAAGCTTGGTGGTAGAAGAATTAGGATTTATTACGCTGTGATGAGGAATATAATACATTTTTTCGGGACGATCTTGAGCGGGTAGGACAGTTGCGATTTTCATGTGTCCCAGGGACAAATACTCATGCATAAAATCGCAATAGGCCTTGTAAGTTTGGGGATTACTTTGTAATCTCCGTTCTAGGCTATAGAATCGACGTAAAGCAATGGAACGTGAATCAGAAAGAAGCGGTTCACCATTTTTGAATGGCAGGGAAACAATAAACTGTCCATGGGACGTGCGACGGTGCGTATTCACAAACGAACTTTCGGCCAAGAGGTCATCAGAGGAGAGAGTGCTAGCTTGAGGAACTTCTTCAATTTCCCAGAATTGTTGCAACTTTGTTGTAAGATCATCATTTTCAACAAGCGCTGAGAAAGTATAAAGTGGAGTTGGAGTTTGAAAATTGATTTTTCCCATCAGCACCCAGCCAAAAATTGTGTTGAGGGCAACTGGAGATCTTCCACCTCCATCGATTTTTCCAGGCAACCAAATATGAGGAAAAACTGAAGCTCCCAGTAACATGTCGATACTACCTGGAGCGTTAAACGATGGATCAGCTAACTTCAAATTGTTGATGTGATCCCAAGAATCGGTTTTAAAGAATGCGGTTGGCATGTCAGAACATACTTTGGGTAGGATAATAGCTTCTAAATTGACTAACAACTTATTGTTGATAGGAGGACCGATCCAGAATA